AAGAAGATTGGGCGCACGTGGGCAGTTTGGCCCGGTATCTGCGTGGCGTGGATCATCATGGCCATGAGTTTGGAGTTGTTGGATTTTCCGCCGTGGAAGGGCATGATTGATGCTCATAGTCTGTGGCATTTGGGCACCGTGGTGCCCACCATCTTGTGGTACAAGTACGTCTTTTCCCCCCCTTTTCCTTCGTTTTTTTTCAACGCAAAGAAAAGTTCCATGGCTAACCCCGTTCTCTCTCTCACAGTTTTCTCCTCCGAGATGCGCAAGAGGATATTGCAGGTACGCGGCTTAAGGATTAAATGGAAAAGAGATAATGCTTTCTCTTTGTCTTTCTTTGTCTTTTTTGAGAAATTCTTTTTCTCCTATTGTCTCATCTACATGTATACCGCTCCGTCACTTACCACATGCTTTCCAGGAAACCTGCCAATAACTGCGTCTCGTGGGGGCGTTTGGAAAGACAAGCATTAAGGGGGTTTGGGCCAACTCATCGACGATAGAGAGAAAAAAATATCGTGCATTTCCACTTGGGGGTTAGTGTCTGCATGTGTGATGGTTATGAAAAGTCTTTCACATTCTTCCAACGTTTCACACTGTCAACTAAACACATGTATCAAATGTTTTTTTGCTCGTATTGATAATAAGGTATCGTTAATCTACGCCGGTGTACCCAGGACAGTGGTATCGAAACGAGGGTAAAAAGGTCTTTGGCAGCTCCCTCTCCTAAAAAAACAAGGAACAAAAAAAGCAAATCTTATAAGCGAAAGAGGAAAGTGTTTTAGAAAAAACTAGAAGAGCGTATTTCCGTGATCCAGGCCGTTAAATAATAAAAACCATTGATACATACATTCAACTAACGAGAAAAAGAAAATATATGTGACCCGCACATGCTGTATTTTCTCTTTACTCGTCGGGAATATTCAACGGTGCACCCGTCCACTGCCCGCCCGTCAAGCCCCTCGTAAAAGCCGTAATGTCGTCTCCGGCCGTCTGAAAAAACACGTACAAACTATCCCAGGGTTCGGGGCCATGCGTATCCTTGTAGGCCGTAACCGTCATGTGGGTGCCTCCGAGCGCTTTTACGGGCCCCGCCGGATCCGTAATGGCAAACGTCTCGTCTTCGACGAAGGTGGTGTTTTCGCCCGCATACGTGACGTTGTAGCCCTGGATTGTGCGGTCGGCCATTTGGGCGTAGAAGTAGGTGGTGTAGCCGAGCGAGGTGATGGGGTATACGTTTCCGATTGCGGCGTTGGAGGCGTTTTGCCACGAGTTGATGGGGTGGGTTTCGGTCGAGGGTAGGCTGACGTTTGTGTCTTTCCACCAGAATTCTACGGCGTTGTTTTTGTTGGCCATCATGGCGTACGTGGTTGTGCCTTCGCCCCAGGAGTAGCAACCTACACCTGCGTGGCCGTTGAAGCCCGGCCATGGCTTGATAGAGACCCATGTGTCGTCCTGGCGCCCGCTGTACCATGCGTATTGCGCAAATGTCGAGTCATCGGTCGCGAACCAGAGATTCATTCCTTGTGAGTTCTCAAACGGCTTGGTGTTGTTGAGGCCCGATGCGGTTGGAAACTTGGTGTAGTCTTCGTCGCCGTAAAAGTTGCCTTTCCAGCAGGCTTGCAGGCCCGTGGTGGGTGAGTCAAAAGCTTTGAGGTTGAGGTCGTTGAGGGAACCCCCTTGCCAGATGTCAGTAATGTTGTCTTGGGTTACTTGTCTGATGGTGTTGTTGCGGTCTACGTAGAAGATGTGTGTCTTGTACTCGTTAGTGAGAAATTAATGGAAGGAGAAACGAGATGACCAACATATTGTGTGGAGTTGATCGCAAAGGCCACAGCGGATATGGGCGATGCGTCTTTTACGCCGCTGGCTACAGTCTGGGCTTTTGTGCCACCAATCCACTTTTGATCAGTGCCGTACTGCATAAAACGAATGTCGCCTGAATGGTGCTGAAAGTACAAAGTAAAGATTTTACGTTGGCCTTGATTCCACGATTCTCCAGCAAGCGCAATGCCAGTGCCGTTGAAGGCGCCCTTCTTAGACACGTACTTGGCGCTGAGAGCGCCGCCAATGCATAATTCCGGGTTTTTGCGACAAAAAGGATCAGCTGGGCTGTCTCTGTATCTAGAGTTAGTATGTTACGACTTGGAAGTGATTATTAGCATCATTCTTGCAGGACGTACGAATCATTGTTTTTAAGGCCGAGGCCCAAACCGAGACCTAGAGCGAGGCCGACGATGGCGAGAATAATGACTCCGAGAAGGATAAAGAACGTCCGCTTCTTCAACCCACACTTCCTCTCCTCCTTTGGCGGTGGGACTACTGGCTCAGGAGCATTCTCGGGCGCATCAGATGGATCGACGTGCTCCTTGAACCCATAAGGTCTTACGTGAGGCGAGGCGAGGGTAGTCCCGCCGTGTGATGAAGGAGACATTGGCCGGCCGGCTTGAGGGTATAGACTGAACTGGCCGGGTACAACTTGAGGTGCTGAGAAGTCTGGTGTTGGGGCGATGGTGGTCGCATGTTGATTGTCTGGAGTCTCTTTTTCCGTCGAGTACCTGTACCAAGCTCAGAACAATGCACAACGGTGGGTGGGGAAAAAGCAATTTGGACGTCTCGTTCTATGAACAGATGTAGATAGATACAAGGTTGAATCAGTCGTGCACATACCCTTGTTGGTAGATTTCGTAGTTCTGTGGTGGTGGTGGAGGGTGACGGGAATGTTCCAGGTCGTACGGCAGCGGCGGTGACACGGTTGGCGGGGAGCTTTGGCTTGTGTAGGTTTGCGACGCGATCGGTGAAGGGTACTGTTGTTGGTCATGTTCCTGGAACTGAGGAGGAGGAGAACTCCATTGACTCTCTCTGTAACTGTGGGCACTGCTCAAGTCGTCACGGTATTCCTCGCGTCGATCCATCTTGACCCATTGAAAGGATGAGAAGGGGCAGGAAGGGTGGGTCAGGCTCTTAACAAACAGGTAGGACCCTAACAGTGGGAGTCCATGCCGGGTGGGTATGTCCCTAATGCAGTTACGCCCTGGTCGGCTAATACGGGAGAGCGACTTTGAAGCGTCAAGTCAGGGTAAAACGCATAATAAGAACGCCTGCATGCACCTGGGTTACCCATTTACGCAGCTAGGCATGCCGCTTACACCCACAATAAGCAACAGCAGTTAATTTGTGTCGATTGTCAAGCCAATGGGGCTTGGCTGCACTGGACTCACCGTCAGCACCATCATCCGTGCATGGAGGAACAGCGATCGAGAGTGCCCATTCGTTGCTGGACAGGCATATGCATTCAGTTCCTATCATAGCTTATAACAGAACGGGCCAAATATACGATACGATCGGCCAGCCGGATATCTCGTATAACCCGTCCTAGCTTTCCCATGGGAACAAGAGCAGACGGCGTCGCCTGCTAAGTTTCGCCCTCGATTTACATACTTAGGTTGTGCTGTACAATGACGAATGGCAATGCGAAAAACAGGCCGGTAGACTTCTGGAAACCCGCCAGTGTAACCTGAAAACGGCTGTCACAGCTGGAGCCGGAGGTGGCTAAGATTAGGTTGATGATTCGTGGATGGGTGTCTCCTGCATGCACAGCTCCTCGTGTCGGTCCCGCTGATCGTAGCTCAGCTGGGAGGGGGAGAAAGAAAGCTTATTATTTGCCAGTTTGGACATTGGTGTGGCGGAGGGAGCGGTTGAGGTGACTTTTCTTTTGGGACAGGGCGGAAGAATGCTGAAGCATTTCCGGCGACCCCGCAACGGCAAACTTCGACGGAGGGCCCGGCTTACCGCCAGCACAGTCGGCTATGGGAAGCCTTCAGATGGCGATGCTAGTTTGCGTCTTTGGCCCATTAGCATGGCTGTGTGAATGGGGTTGTGGTTGCGACTATGGCTATGGTTTCTGAAGCTATTCACTAGCCACTGGCGCACTACGTAGGTGGTTCACTCTGTTACATTCTGATAGGTAGCTTCCCTCGGCGAGTATCGCTCCATCAGGCCGAGACTTGAATCTAAACTTTGCAACCCGAAAGTCCATGGTGCGCTGGAACTGATGCTTGTCTTGACTTGGAATAGATGCGCAGGGTCAGCACTGGCGCCTTTGTTGGTCGTCTTAGGTGATCCATGATATGAAGATCAGCAACTGTGGGAGGAAACGGGTAAAAAACGACCCGTTTTCTTTCCTGCGCATCCAGAAAGATCGATGAAGAACGGAACAAAGCGGTGCAGAGTACGCTTTGCATCTCTCAGACTTGTGTGACCATTTCCAGCGCTGGAATCTCCTCTGTCGCGAGGCATTTGCACAAGAGCACTGACCGTTGGCAACGGCGCGAGTAAGTACCATGCTCTCGACGCCCGAGCATTATCAAGCAAAGACATTAAATATGTCGCGTTTCAGTCATGTCGCATTGCTGGTTCGCTAGTCAATTGTCTTCCAGAAGGGCCGCAAAATATTGTATTGACTTGTGCGCAGAGGAGTGGTTTGGCACGCATTACTCCGGGTTGCGTGTTGCGACATGCCTGCTTGGCTCACATTGTCTCGAAGATGTAAACAGAGCGACATCAAACAAGTCTGATACAACATTTGCATTTTCGAAACCAGAGTCGGGTGGGTGCTTCGGTAGATTTTGGACAGCCTTTGGAAATGTTTGCAGTAAGTCGCCAAACGTTGCCATGAGCAGCTTGTTTGTGTCCAAGGAAAGATGATGGATAGGCTGCTCATGAACAAGGCATTTCACTTTGGGTGCCTTGAAACATGTCCTTGAACTAAGTACTCTACATGAGATGTTGAAAGCATCGAGGAGAAGTACCAGTGTCACCAAATGGCATGTGCAAATGCGAAGCATTGATAGTGAGTAGGCATCTGCTGAACAGGCTAAAGAAAAGTCGTGGGATCAGTAACTAACGCGCTCATATATAGATAATAAACTGGCGAGGTGTGCGCAATCAATAGGAACAACGCCACAAAGAGTATAAGGGGCTCGATTGAGTGAAACGTCACGATGGCACGCAGCCAGGTATGCTTGCGGCCCTGGCTTTCCGAGCTAAGTAAGTAGGTATGCCTCCTGTAGAGTTGCGACTCGCATCTCCCACATGACCTAGGCAGGTGTTTGCACCGCGTAAGTAAGTATCCCATGTATTCAGACAGTTTATGTCAATGCGCCACGGAGATGATGGCAAGATATGAGGCTAGCATCGGCGCCTTTAAGATTGCACTGAATAGGTCCTAGCGGAAGTTGGGGTAGTGGCTGGTGGTAAACCGACACAAGCCTTGTTCTCTGGCGAAGGCGGAATGTGGACTACGGCAACCTCGATCTTACCACTATCGAGCAAACCATACGTTTTGTCCTGTCAGATGCGGGCGCTTTTCGGCTGCCGACGGAACGGTGGCAGTCAGAAGGTGTATTTATTGTACTGGGTGTCTTGAGGATCTGTGTGTTTCACGGGATGATGCTGGCAGAGTATTGCATAGCTAGGGAGATATCGTGGAGCAGGTGCTGAAGGAGCAGGCCAGGCCTTCGGAGTCTGGATTTGAGGGGATTTCCCGAGTTACGACTAGCGGACCACACAGCCATGTTGTGTTGGATTTTGAGGGGTTCATGGCACGGGGAGGGAGGCCGTATGACGGTCATCAGGCCAAGTGCCGGTTGGTAAGTGATGTGAGAAGGATTCGCGGCTGTATTTGGTACACGACAGCGACGGCGCGAGATGGTGTCAGCTTGGTCAGCATGCGCTCTCAGCAGACTTGGGGGTGGGGTGGTGATATGTGGGTGTGAGTATGGTAGAGTAGCATTTGTGAGTGAGGGTATATTTAGACATCACATGACCAATGCGACAAGTAGTCACGTGCAGGTAGCAGGGAACGCCTGCATGGCCACAGTCCGGCCGCAGCTACAGCCAAAAAAGACAAAAGACAAAGGTGGAATGAAATGAGTCAGGCATGACGCACAGTCCTCCCCTCAGCCCACACACAGCTCGCCCGCGCCCGCCCGCGCCCGCTCTCTCCGCCCCAAACCAGGCCAGTCGAAGCCGCGGCGGCCCTTTCTTCGTCCCCTTTGCACAGACACTTCCATCTTGACTTGACCCTCACCTTCACCACCGCCCCTAGCACTGAAGACGCGACCCCCCTCGCGCTCTCCGGTGACGCGCTGCACATACACACCCCTTCACGCATCCATAGCGAAACATCCCTCTCGCTCTCGCTGTCCGGCCCCTCCCCCCACTTCAGCAGCCGACGCCGACGCCGACCCAAGAGCACGGCAAAACCCCGCGCGACATCTCGCGAACATTCCACCCATATCCACCAGGACCAAGGAATGCGCTGCTACTCCCCCACAATCATGGCTTTTCCCCGGTACTCCAACCTTCCTAAGATCGAGAAGTCGGGCGACGTTGTCGGCACTGTTCGTCGCGTCTGAACGCGGTGTCCACATATCGGTTATTTTCTCTCTGCCTACATAGAGCCTGTTGGCCAACAAAAAAAAGAACGACTGCACATCCAAGGAGACCTCTCTCCCTGTAGACTGTCCCGGTTGTTTGCATTCACAACCGTTTGCTGGGTGACGGCGGACTCCACGCGACCCGACAAAGCCTTCACTTTCACCATCATTGTGCGTTGCGCACAACGGCTGCGACTGCATTGTTCGCTCTAGCCGACGAATAGACGCTCACCAGAAGCTCATTCACGTCGCCCCATTTGCTCCCACCAAGTTCCTGGCACCAGCCGTCACATTCGGCTCACCCGGACGGCTGAACCGTGGTTTTCCAACACCGTGACGTAGTTTGCTGTCTCTAAAATCCCCTCCACACACTACATTTCTGGGCCACCACGCTCTCGAACACTATTGCGCTTCTCAACAGCACCTGGCTACAGAGACAGCCTCCCATCAAAAACCTAGCACCTGTTTTCACCACGCCCATACCACACAATACCATGGCCCATCCAAAAATCCCCGCCAGCGTCATTTTGTCGCCGCGCGAGCTAAAACTGTACAAGCGTTGGCAGTGCTTGCACGCAAACATCCGACCAAATGAGCAAGGCTACATTCCCACAGCCGGCGAGTACGAAGATTTTCAACAATGGCTCAAGCGACAAGACTCTGGCTATTTTTCCGACATATTCGACGACATTACTGGCCACATCGCGCCTCCCGCTTCCGAAACCACAAAGTCCACGTCAAACTCGCCTGTCGCATCAGTCTGTCAGCACACCATGCACCCAACAGCAGCCGGCCAACTCCAATCCCGATGCCCTGTGTGTACAATTGACATGCACGTCAAGTACATGCACGTATTGTCGCAAGCCCTTGAGAATGCGGGTGGTCGTGCGCCATCATGCACTCTGACTAGCTCCGAGCATCAAGACACCGTCTACAATGCCTGGTGCAAAGGCAAGATAGGCGCACTCAAAGAACTCTCGGTTATTGAAAACATGGCTGCACAAGAGTCTGAATGGTCAGCACGGCATCCAGAGGAGAGCCACGAAAATGTACAAACCGCGTCCAAGGCACTAGACCTGTATTGGGCAGAGACCACAGGACATGTAGATGAGCGGCCGCGTCCCAAAAGGGATTCTGCTGTCGCATTTGCAGAAGATACGGATTTTGAGCCCGGAAGACCTAATCCGTACTTTCATCGGAGATCACCGCGCTACGAACCCGGCAAGTACACCGTGGTTGACGACGATGGTGACGACGATGACGAGGATATGATCTCAGAAGACTCGGAAGACTACTCTCATGCAAAGAGTTGTCATGTCACTGGTGCTGAAGAGCCGGTCGCCGAATTGCTTGAATCATTCCAGAATCTTGACACAGTCGACGACATCGAAGATGACGATGGCGATAGTGACTGGGAAGACGTCGAATCTGACGACGAGTACAGTGACGAAGATAGTGAGGGCAGCTGCACGTATTGGGAAGTTGAGGAGGAGGCAAGCTTCATCGTCTTCGGCGAGGACTGAGCTGTTCTCAGCGCTAGCCTTCTACAAAAACTACCATCGCGACGCCAAACCAAATACCACAAGGTCACTGTATCGAAAAAGCACGCCTTTCGCAAAAGGCGGAGGTACATATAAAGGGGGAAAGACGCGCCCGGTTTGGGGATAGAAGAGCAACATGGAAGAGCAGAGGATTACATTCTCATTCGAACTGTACATATACATTCCAAGAGCCATGCAATGTTAGAGCGAAGAAAGGGTTCAAAGTGCTTGTCCCTGGCACTCTATCATCATGAAAAAAGACATGACATTACCCGTAGCATACAACATGCACGGCAGAAGAGGTTCAACAAGAACTCTCAAGTTATCAACAGTAACAAACAAACAACAAACAAATGTTAAACAACTTTTTGATCTCTCCAATCTCCTCGTGATCCATTTTCTTCTTCGTCCAAAGAACCATACGACGCACACGAATATTTTTTTCCTGCCAAACCAAACATGACCACACAAACACCATGCATTATCCTCTCATAGATTCATGCCGCATATCCTTCTTCTTTACCCTGAGTACATAATTTCACATGGAACCACCTTGTTCGTCCATCCGCGGCACAATGCCTAAAGAGATAGTAGCGCGTGCCAGTTTGTTCAAGACGGGGGGAGGATTGTTTCAAAGTTACCCTAGGGGTGCCTCTTGAGTACTTACGTAAGGAAGGGGGGGAGGGGGGTTGCTGGTGCGGTTTGTTTGGGGCGGTGGGGGTCTAGATGCTTTTATGTGTGTTTTTATAGATTTTGGGGGGTTTTGTTAGTGTTGAGGGTGGGGGAGTGAAAGGGAAAGGAGGAGTGGTGTGGTTTGATGGTGGGAATGGTGAAGTAGGGAATAGAAGCAGTGGCTGCTAATCATGTCATAGGTATGTATGTTGTCTTGAGGGCACTGCAAAAGTGAGGTCGGCGCATCTAATACAAGGGATTCAGTAGAATAAAGAATAGCTAAACGTGAGGGTAGTGCTTGAGCTTGGAGTTACGCTGCGAAGTTGTGTGGTTGAAAATTGATCATTTCACTTCACTCGTCTTCTTGTTACGTGCATGATAAAAGCCGGTAGATGACAAAAAAAAAGATGAAGAGTAATCAGAGCTATAGCCTCCTGTATGATAACAAAGGATATCGAAATACATCAATATCCAAACTTCGTTTGTCCATAGTAAACGCATAGCCAAGAAGGACCACCCATAGCCCAGCAAGGATAAAGTGGAAGATACAGTGCATGTCAGTTTATTCTGTTAGGACACAAAAGGCGTGACTTGTTCCGGTGTGGCATTTACACTCTGGTCAGCGATACATTTACAAAGCAGATTGGTTTGGTGTGAAAGTTTGAGATTGAGATTTGAGTTTCGGCGAAAATGGGGAGGGGTGGCTTTGTGGAAGGTCATATATCGGTGATATTGGTCGAGAGAATGAGAGAGTAGCGAGGAATTTGGGTCTTATTTTGGAGTCAATTACCGCAGAACAGGAACACGTAGGCAGTGGGACAATGAAAAGATTGTTGCAAGAGTGGGCACGTGAAACATTTATATCATGTCATTTGTCCATAACCGAGTTTTCTTGAAATGATTTATTATCAAAGTAAGCTTAGAAGAGAGCGGTCCATCGATATTAGAGAAAGTTTTTCAAGAGTCTGAATGCAAATTTGGCTTTTGGACTCACACGGCTTACAGATGACAGCAGATCCCAGTCAAGCTTACAACGGGAAGCAAAAAGTATTCTGCAAAGAAAAATGACTCGTGCAAACGACGGTCTAGATGGCCCATACACTGCACTGTCTTTCAATTGCAGGGAAAGAAGAGTGTAGATATACTTTACAAGTTCAGGCACATGAATCAACAGTGAAGGCTGCAGAATCAAAGATGATACTGCTAAAATCACTGAGGGATCAACTTCCAAGCTGAGTACGGAAATTGTTGAAACATATGCCACGAGATATCTGGAGCAATCACTTCTTATCACAGGGGATCAGGATAGTAGTGTTTCCCATACCGGATTCTTCCATCGTTTTGCAGAGCTTCGGAGTCTGCTCACCGCTCCCCTCTCCGTTCTGTTGCCTTTACGGGCCTAGAGCTTCGATAAGGGGTGGGGGATGGCTCTATCCAGATTGAGATAGTAGACAGTGCATTAGCACCAGAATTGAAATCTGGAATTTCCATGAACCAGAGGTGTTGAGAGAGTAACAATACCTTTTCAAGTGAATACGGGATACAATGCATATGTATGCAGAAGATTGGGCGGAAGGATCATTCCCATCACCGAGCGTTCTCGTTTTTGAAAGTTCTTCAGCTAGGTCTGGAATCATACGGCAAAATTGCCTTCTAATTAACAAACCTATTCTCCTCTCGGTATCGTTTAGCTGGCCGTAAATTAGACCGCAAATTAGACCGCCAAGGGGGCTCATATCGCCTGTGACCTGCGTACAGATAGAAAACCAATATACCGTCACCATCCTCTCTCATCGTCTACTATTAGTACACTCTTCTCAACCGAAGAAGCCTCCACGGCCTTCTTCCCGCCCTACCGCTACACAATCATGAAGTTCAACGTTCTATCCGCCATCTTCATCTTAGCTGGCATCACCTCGGTGCGTTCCCCAACTTTTAATAGTACATGAGCTCTGAGTTAATCACTCCAAATAGGCCAACACCACCTGCCAGTGCAACAGTATTGACCCATCCCAATACAGCATTGAAGGCGGCACAAGAGTCACTTGCCACGGCACAATCACTGTCAACCACCAAAAGCTCACCGGTCGCATGATCCTCGAAGACCGCTGCCTACTGAACACGGACGGCCTGAATCTCTCCTTGGATAAGATCCAGAAGCAGTTTTCTCAGGATTGCGCCAGGATCAATATCGCGGATGTGACTCCTTGGCCAAATGCTACATGCCAGGTCGCTCTAGATTAATTACATGGGCAAGACGCGGTGTAATGATAGTTCTGGGGCCGTTGTGTATATATCTTTGTAGCTTGTGCTTTGTCTCACCTATTTTGACGCCCATGCTGGAGCCATTGTGATGGACCACTTTGATAAGGAGTTAATGTAGCAAGATACTACGCGTGTTCTGAGAAAAAAAGGGATTCCATACTCAGTGGCACTTGAACGCTTAAACCCTTCATTTTGATAAACTAGTGCCTTGTTACTCTACTACAAAGTCATATAGCAGACCAATGCAAACGTTCATATCTAATGTCGGGATAACAAACTCAAAGATCTAGGCTTCAACGTGAGACGCTGTGCAGTCTTGTCATTGACGTAGTTGTTCAATGCGCCACACATCGTGTGCCAGCCTCCCAGAACTTCCTCAACAACCTGAACGTTTTGGTATCGATGATAAGGTCTATGTAGAACTACCGTTTTGAACTGGGGAGTGTGTTATACATAGGCTGGGTGCGTAGTAGGTATCTTAGTCCCATAAGCCTTGTATGTGATTGGGGCAATACGGGAGGTGAATTTTACTAAACAAAGGAATAGGGTGGAGCAGGTCTTTTATACTTTTTTTTTTTAAAAAAAAAACAGAAACAAAAAGCTAATCTTAGAATGGAAAGATTCAAATAACCAGTGTTTGTGCTTCGTCTTTTGGAGCATACTCTATATAGCAAGGTGGTTGTTATAGACTGGGGTGTTTTAGCATTCCATGTCCGAGTCGAAGTAGGTCTGTGTCTTGCTGTTGTGGGTGCACTGGCTTACCTCAACTTTTGCTATCCTTGAACTGCTGCAAAGGACCTTTTCTCGGCTATTTTGTTGGTGGAAGCAATGATTCCAATGCGAACATCATCGATGAAAGACCGGGCGCTCAAGGGGTGAAGTTGAATTTCCCAGCGGTGTCGTTGGAGAAAGGTGGACAAGAAGGCATCGTCCTCAAGCCTGAGAATCATCAGAGTCGTGTCCCGACCCTCATATCTCATGTTCGCGAACACCTCATATCTTCGTTGCTCCTTGGCGAAGCATTGACTCTACAGCTCTTTAGCACTGTGTTCAATGAGGCCTTATAGCTTGCTATTGATCAAACACACCCTGCGCCCTGAGCACCTGCTTCTCGAAATTAACGCAATAGCCATGGAAGCATGAGGTCATAGCTTCAGACATGATCTCGGCTCGCTCCGTTGCGATCGACGCTTCCGGAGCCTGACTTTGCTCTTTCTTTGCTTTTGAGAACCGATCTTCGTATTTTGCAGCAGTGGCTTTTCAAGCCGCAAGCATTTCGGGGCTAGAAAGAAAAAGCGTTGGACATCATTGACTGGTGTGTGCTTTGGAATGGCGTTTTTTTGTTGACTTGTATGCGCCTTGGATAGGTTGTTTTTTGTTGATGTGCTTCTTCTTGGCTCATGTCGTCAATATTAGGGTTTTTTAAGGGTATTGCTTGTTTGGGCCGGGACCCCAAGGAGGGTAGCCTTTATATGGGGAAGTGATCTTTGGAGCTTGCAGGTGATGTAACTGCGCGTTACTTGCTGTGGAGTATTGGCTTTGCACATGTTAGTTTCAGCTTTCAGAGTGTCACAACGGGATGAAGAAATGAAGATAGAGTCTTCATCATTGGAGCACTCGGAAAGAGCCAGTATGTACCCCGATCTGGAAATTGTTAGTGGGTGTCTAATTTGTAGACATTGTATTGGCGGCGATCACTAAATTCACATTTGCATCCATGCTCACGATCGATGGACTGTGTGATAAGCTCAAAACTGCAAGGATGGAGAAAGAGGGTTGAAGGATCATTTTCAAAAACAATAAGACGTTAGTGGAGATTATATCTATACTGGCCTTGTGGATTTGGGGCTGGATTAGAGGAGCAGTCATCTGCTCTGCTCGTTGTCCCATCTCTTCCATTCCGCTGCCCTAGCCCGCCAAAATGGCTGCAGCACCAGATGCTCTCTGGCCACTCGTTTGCATTACGGGCTTCCTAGCACCCATAGCCCTCGTTTTATACTTTTGCCTTCGAGTCTACTGCGTCGTATACACACACCTTCAAGGCAACCGGCAGCTAGTCCTCGCATGGTGTTTTCTCGGCATTGAATTCTTTCAATACATACCTTCCATATTTCTCTACCTTAACCGCATGCTAGTTCCCCGACGTCCACGTCGACCCCAACTTTTTCTCGAAGGCGAAGACGTACCCGTCATCTCGGTCCTGATCACTGCCTGTGGAGAGGAACACGATACCATTCTTAATGTCGTACGATCTGCATGCGAGACGAATTGGCCGGCAGGCCGTTTAAATGTGATTCTATGCGACGATGGTCGTAGCAAAGAACTTCAGGATAAGATACTGCACTTGCAGCGGGAATATCCCTTTGCACACTACACCAGCCGGCCGCCTCCAGAGATCCCAGACTATGTGAGTTTCTAAACAATCCTTTGAGATTTATACCACTAATGAAGATATCTCAGAAAGCGGGTAATCTCAACAACGGCCTCCAATACAGCGCCAAACTCAACGACCCACCCTCACCCTTCGTCGCAGGTCTGGATGTCGACATGATTGTGCAACCCAACTGGCTCCGCCAGCTAATGCCGCATCTACTCGCCGACCCCAAGATGAGCATGGCATGTCCGCCGCAAAACTTCTGGAACATACCCAAAAACGATCACGTGCGCCAGGATCTCGACTACTTCTACTCTGTAACGGAGACTGTGCACGACGCCCTGGGAGCAGCCGATTGCGTGGGGTCCGGGTACCTGGTCCGACGAGATGCGTTGACGGATATTGGCGGGTTTCCTGCGTTTTCGATCAGCGAGGATACGGCGTGTAGTTCGTTATTGCTGGGGAAGGGGTGGCAGGTTGCGTATGTGGATGAGTATATGCAGTGTGGGGAGATGCCGGAGACGTTGCGGGGACATATCAAGCAGCGAACGAGATGGGTTAGTGGTTGATATGCGGGTATCTTGAGTGTCGATTTGCTGACGATCTTTTGTGATAGACGATTGGCAATGTTCAGACTGCGTTCAAGGTAAGCACATTCTTTTATATGTCGAATATGCATGATGTTAGAAGAAAAGCTGATTGTCAACAGTTAAATTTCCGCCTCTGGGGCCCAAAAATCCCTTTGTGTACTGCTCGCCAACGCCTCGCTGGCTTCGTCTTCGGCGCAAGCTCTCTTGCCAACTGCACCTTGACCTGGATTGGCTTCGTCGGAAACCTTGTTGCCCTGCTCGCCGGCTACCCCTTTGTCGTGTACCATGAACGCTGGCAGCTAGTTTGGCTACTGCGCCTCGTCGGCTTATGGGTGTTTTCCGACACTGCGCACAAAGCTATTTTGGCGCTGTTTGTCGGTTACAGAGATGCCATGCGCTGGGATCAAGCGGATATCTGGCTTGTGCCATATTATGCGCTCGCAATGGTTCGCGGATTCGTTCTACCAGATAAATTTGGTGGGACAACGCCTGGTTTCATGCCAAGTGGGAGTTTGTCTGCTTTGATCAAAGAGCGTCGACCAAATCTTTCGGGCTTCGTAGGACGTTTCCGCGCACTTTTCTTGCAGCAGATGATATGGATACACTTCTGTTACATCTTGGCCTGCTTGCTCGGTGTCGCACTCAACTTTGTCCGCTGTTTCGATCCAGCGGCCGGGATTGGCACTGCTTATCTGGAACAGCGTTTGGTGTCAGGCCGCGATCAATGGATATTCCTGCTCACGAGAGTTGGGTGGCCCCCAGTATGGTGGTTGGGTCAGTTCATCAGTTGCTGGATTCCTGTGAGCTATATCTTGTGGCCACCAGTACAAGTCACTACAGATGAGGCGCTGCAGATGGATGAGAAAACAGGAGTGCGATATCCAAAAGAGGAGTATCTGAACCCTAAGAGAACCAGGTTTGGAAGACTTAGTGATCATATGACATTGATCATGTTTTTGTATACAGCTGTTACTTTTGTTGCGTCCTTTTACATATAGGCTTCTCTTTTGTGTTCGTAGCTGAGCATGTCGAATATGAATCTCTAGCTGCCAGAAAACAACTGACACGTTTGGATAAATGGGTTCGAGTTATTCGGATGTGTGAAGATATGGAAATCACAAACTCAAGAAAATCAATTTCGAGAATGCAGACTGGTATGATTGATGGTGGAACATTGCTGCAGATCGAATCATTTCATTACCATTACCGTAGAGAGAAGGTGACTAGATTACCGAAATAAATCCATGATCAAGATTCCTCAAATCGGAACCTCATCTTTGCCCCATGTGACCTGGGTATCCGACTCTGATCTCGCAATCATCTTATGGCCGGTGATGGCTACGTTCTTCCACTTCAAAGAAGCGCAATTAATAGTGCCTTTGAACTTTCGGCAATCGTTCCCAGAGAATACAAGATATCCCAGATCTGACTCAAAAGAACCATTCTCTTTCGAAGTTGAGTGGGAAGCACCATGTGGTACGCCACTCCAGCGAAACCAAAACTTGGGAGAGCGGAAACTATTCTTCTCAAATGTGTCGAAGCGCGTTTTCGCCGGCGATTCTGGTTCGGTGTTACTACTGGTATCGCCTTGTCCCTCTTGGTCATCTTCTTCCGACGCATCCTCGCCTGATTCGAGATCCGCAATAGTTCGTCGTAGACTGTCTCGACTACCGGCTAATATGACGGATGACCGCAGCACACCTGGGAGGAGGAGTTCGCCCACAATGCCCTCGCCGGATTCGGTCAGCCGATACAACTCTAAGGAGGCTTCTTGGTCCGACTGTGCATCACCATCTGTAGCTAAGGCCTTTTGCCAGGCTGGGCATTTGACGGAGTAACTTGCGAATGTCTTGCGGACGTCAAAGGCGCTGCTGTGTTTGGATTTACCGCTGCTTCCTCTGCGATTGTGCATGTGGCGTGAAGAAAACGCGGCATCTTGCCAGTCATCATCCATGGCGAAGACGGCAGTTGGGTGTGGCTGGGAGTCTTGGGTGAATGTTGGTGGTATTCGACTTGAAGTTGGTCGCGTGTGTGATTACAAGAGAGTGATCGACGTCATAGACTGGTGGGCATGTAGCCGTGAAGTGTTGAATGAACGTATGATTCGGAGTCAGTAGAAGTCTTTCAACAAAGGAAACGAGTACCCTGAGTGGAGTTAGACGAAGAGAAGCAATAAGTCGCGTGCGGGGGTGTGTCGTCATGCGGACTCCGCACTTCCAACATGCCTGTTCTGCTTTCCTCGATGAGATTGGCTTTAGAGTTTCCGGATGGCTGTTTAATCTCTCTCAATTCGTGAAAATCCACACACATTTTTCTTTTTTCCCTGCTTTTTAGTTTCTTCTATAGTTGTTTATTCTGCGCGCCTATGCTCCTGTTTGAGCGCCTACATGCGTTCAAATTGAACGGACTTGTCATTTATTTTGCTTTTGGGTATAGCATGATATTACTGAATAGTATGCGAGACTTTTAAGAAGCCAGAACACATTGCGTGACCAAGGACGTGATGTTCGGATGGGGGTGGGGCAGCACGTGAGCAGGCGTTGCTTGCATGTGAACTTCTGGCAGCGGCGCGCAAACTGATGAACCGCCGTCACTCGAACAATGCCACCCAAAGGCTCAAAGAGGCCTGCACCTGCACCACCACACAAGACACTGGTCATAGACAATGGCGCATACACCATCAAAGCCGGTCTCGTATCGACAGGCACGGAGCCTACATACGACGACTGCAGCGTCATAGCCAACTGTATTGCGCGCAGCACGCGTGACAAGCGCACCTATGTCGGCGCCGAACTGGACTCGTGCAAAGATTTTGGCGAGCTGGCCTTTCGGCGACCAGTAGAAAAGGGCTTCATTGTCAACTGGGAGGCAGAGAAGGCCATCTGGGAGCATGAGTTCATGAGCGAGACGGCGGGCGAGGGGTTAAGGGTGGGTATGCACGCCTGCAACGACTATGAGACGGTGTTAGCTGATGGCGCATAGTGTGACCCCAAAGAGACAAACCTGCTCTTGACCGAGAAGCCAAACTGTCCGAAAGAACTGCAGAAGAACTGTGACGAGATTGTCTTTGAGCAATTCGAGTTCGCCGCGTATTACAGATGTGTGGGCGCGACACTCAATGCCTACAACAGCCCCACCGCCTCACCGCTATCGTCGCTACCGCAAGAATGCGTCCTGGTCATTGATACCTCCTACTCAGATACAACCATCTTGCCTCTCTATAATGGCAAGCTCATACAATCAGCTGTCAGGCGGCTCACCGTCGGTGGAAAGTTGCTCACCAACTACCTGAAGGAGCTATCTTCCCTCCGCCACTACAACATGATGGAGGAGACATATCTGCTGAACGAGATCAAGGAAGCCGTGTCGTACGTAGTGCCTTCGTCACAGCAATTCGCTACAGATCTCGAGCGGACGTGGAAAGGACGACTAGGAGCTAAACGAGAGCTGGATTCGGGCATCGTCGTGGACTACGTGCTGCCCGACTATGAGAATTCGATACATGGACATGCGCGCCCTCACGATCCGGCAAAGTCACGTATGCGCCGGGGATTGCAACCATTACAGGGGCCGAGAGAAGACTTGCTGCCGTTGGGCAACGAGCGCTTTACCGTGCCAGAACTACTGTTCAACCCCTCGGATATCGGCATTCAGGAGGTCGGCCTTCCCGGCGCAGTCATGGAATCGCTGAGTGCACTGCCGGAAGCTCTGAAAGTTGGGTTGCTAGCGAACATAATTGTTGTTGGTGGAAACTCGCTCATCACTGGCTTCATGGAGCGGTTGGAGACGGAGTTGAGGGCATTGGTACCCGTAGAGTATGTGTTGAATGTAGCCAGGGCGGAAGATCCCATCAAGCATACATGGCTGGGAGGAGCGCGCTATGCTAGCCAGCCGGACTTGATGAAGGAAGTCCTTGTAACAAAGGCAGAGTATGACGAGAGGGGGTCGACATGGCTAGTGAAGAAGTTTACCTAGATGATACCCGGCAGTAGGATTTCCTTGGCAGATGTCGTGTCTGTTATTGTATAAAAAACCTACCAATATAAGTACAACAAAATGTCTTAGAGAAAGGGAGCGTCATGCATTATACATATACATGGTGCAAGAGTTCGGGGCTGCGGCGGTTGTGATTGGCCAGATCTCGGCGTCTTGGCGGGCTGCCGATTGCATGTCGAAGGGATTTCTAGCATCAATTGCATCCTCGACATCCCGCCCCAATGCGCCGAATACCGCGCCCCTCGCGGGCAACCGACCCTTCACATTCGCTCTCTGCATCTATATGCCAGAGAGTGTCGCCTCTGCCCTATCGCGGTCCCGCCTCGCCCTGCGCACACATTCGAGCCGCCGCCGCATTTTCCACCACCTCACCCAATTGCTTCCTCCTTCCCGGAAAACAAGACAAGAAGAAACACCAGCAGTTTGTGCGGCGATGGCAGAAGCGACTTCTCGGCGATTCGGAGCCAATTGGCGCACATGTTGACCCGTACGACCCGACATCGCCTGTTCGCATAGCACCAGAGGAACAGGGCGAGTATGTGGAGGTGCTCGACGATGAGGGGCCCGATTTCCCCCACTATAAGCCATCGGAGAACATTAGTGGTCTCGAGCGTGTTGGTGGTGAGGAGTGGCTTAAACAAAAGGTGGAGAAGGACATGGCTGTGGAATTCGAAAAGCTTACACTGCGCACCTACACCCCGCTTACGTTGGAGATGGCCGACGAGATTGAAGAGCTCACTGGCACCCCATACACCCTCAAGGATGAGAATCTGATGATGGCACAAACCGTACACGAGAAGACGAAACGCCCATATACAGCCTACAACTTTGGTCTTCACACAAAGGTCACCCGTCCCAACGATCTGCGCAGCCGCTTCACCCAGGCTATCGCCGAAATCTACGCCATGAAGCAGACTGGTCTCGAAATGGACTTTTCCAAGTTTGCCAACCGCGGAATCTACGATGCGCCACGCTGGGTCAAGGACATCAAGTTGGTCAAGACGGATAGCGGGGACCTCGCCCTCGCTTTTCCTCAGCACAAGAGTCTCGAGCAGCTTCTAGAGACTATGCAAAACGCCCCAACTTGGGAGCCTGCATTTGAGGAATCAGACGAACTTCTTGTCGACGAAGCCGAGGACATTATCGCAACAGAAGAGCAACCTCCGACCATGTACCCTGACACACCAGCACACAAGCGGGCAGCCGTGGTAAAGATGGATGATGAGAAGAAGCCATTCGACTTCATGTCGAATCGTCCTGTACCCCGTAGCAAGCCAGTCGAAAAGCCAGTTGTTGAGGATGTCACGCCTACAACAACTTCAACTTCAACTTCAACTTCGGCAGAGCTTCCCGCTCAAAAGTCCGAGCCTCAGCCTGTCAGGGAGTCACAGAGTAAGACACAGCACTCAATTCTGGAAGATAAAGCGCAGCGGCTGGCTGAGGACTTTGCTGCTTTGAGGAGGTCTGTACAACAGGCTCGAGCAAGCGGATCTGCCGTCAAGCCCGAGGAAACAAAATGGCGACAGATCCAAGTGGCTGATGTCGACCTCAAGTTTGCTGTAAGTGCTGTTCCTGATCACAACATAGCAAAAGATACTGACTCAATATGATCAGCTTTACAAACGTCTTTACCAGCTTACAGGTTATCGCATTTCCGACCCAGATCTGACTTCGGCAAACACTCTTGGAGACCTATACAATAGCCTCTGTCTAGCTGCTAAGCCTCAGCCCACCAGCCTTTTCTCCGCTATCCACGTTGAAGGCCAGAAGGCGCGTGAAAAGGCCAAGCGAGAAGCTGCATCTGCTGCCGAGAAGAAGCGAAAGGCCGACCTAGGTGATTTGATTAACCTGGGCAATGTCGAACTTCGCCGAGTCAAGGCAACCAAGCCGGAAAAGCGAAGCAAGATTGGTCTGGACAAGGTGGTGCACTATGCGCTGTGGGAACGTGGCCTAGGCACTGGTATGCCGCCGAGATCAGTCAAAAAGGGAAAGAGAAAGGCTC